AAAAATAGGCTACTTTTTTAAGAGTTAATAATAATAATAATAGATTGGCGCTTACACATATGTTAGTGTTTGGCCGAGCTTCTCCTCCGACTTGTGGCGTGCGCCTTGATGTTGTCACACAAAGCGGAGGGACCTACAGTTTTACGACGACTCCGAACGGCGATTGTATTTTTATGAGAAGCTGTTTTTTCATGGCAGAAATACACTCGGAGGTTTGACATTGCCTACCGAGGGACGACCGCTGAAAAGAAAAACCTTTTTCTATATTTTTTGCGATGTTGTTTTGACCAGGGCTTGAACCCAAATGCTGATGAGTGAAAGCGCGCAATGTTTACCACTACACCACAGCGGCCGACGAGAGTTACCACCTGCTAAAAAAGTTTAATTAAATTAATACGCGGAAAAGTCTGAACGGATTTGCATCAAATTTTGCAAGCAGATAGCTTATGACCTACAGTGGAAAATAGGCTAAATTTTTGGAAGATTTGCATGACATTTCGCACAGAGATAGCTTATGACCTATGTTGGAAAATAGGCTGCTATTTTAAGAGTTATCACGTATTAGGAAACTTTAATTAAATTAATACTTGAAAATGACTGAACTGATTTGCACGAAAGTATGCGCACAGATAGCTTATGACCTAGACTGGAAAATAGGCTACTTTTTTAAGAATGGCCACCTGTTTGAAAATTAAATTTTGCTCAAAGATGGAGCAATAGGCTACTTCCTTAACCGGTTTTCCGATCAGAACGAAATTTAGTACACTTACTACGGATTTCGGAAGGATGGTCTTAGACTGAAAGTAAGTGCGATAACTCAAGGCCCCTCCCATACAAATTGGAATTTTCATATTACATACATATCTCTGGAAGTATTTGTGGGAGAGAACTGAAACTTGGTATAGTGATATGTATGTGAAATCAATGTTGGCATTAATCGATTGATGTTTTAATTAGTTAGTTAATTCGATTAAATTCAATCTGAATTAATCATGATTAATTTTAATCCGACTAAACAGTTAACCGTAACCGCGATTGAAAAATTAATTTTTAATCATTAACTCTTAATTTGATCAAGTAGGTTTGGTGATTAATTAAGTTATGCTGGAATTTTCCTGTGCACACAAAGCAAGTTAATCCAGTATGGCTAAGTCGGGTTTCCTCATCAATCTAAAAAATTTGGTGTGCATTTTCATTAAGATATATGTATACCAACAAACGTTTTACAAACTAGGTTTGTAAAAGTTCCCAGTTTATGTATTACTAATAATAATAATAATTATTTTTTTATATTACGTGCTTTTTATAAGCGTAAAACACAAAATAATTACTATAACTGGTGTTTGGTTTCAAACTCGGACAAACTAGACAAATTAATCAGATTTTATTTTTAATTGGATTAACGATTAATGTTTTAAATTAATTAAACGTAATCGCAGCCAGCGATTAACGATTAAAAAATGTTATCATTAATCGTACAGTTGATTGCGACTAATTAATTTTAATCGTCAAACGCGATTAACATTTTAATCGTTAATCAGATTAACAGTTTGCCAACACTGTGTGAAATCATGTTCATATTCACGGAGAAAAATGGACGTTTTTGGAAAAGAGGCGTAGCACCTCCCATACTGACTGAAAGTTTCATATTGCATATCTCTTCAAATGTTTGGGGTAAAGCACTCAAGCTTGGTATGGAAATACATATGTATGCATGCATGTGTGTGAAACTAATACCATACTCATAGAGAAAAATGAGAGTTATTGGAAAAGGTGGTGTGGCAACTCCCATGCAAATTGATTTTTTTATGCTGCATATCTCTGGAGGTGTTTATTGCAGAGGACTGGAACTTGGCACCGAGATGTGTATACAAAATTAATTCCATACTCATAGAGAAGAATTTGTGTTATTCGAAAAGGGGACATGGTTCCTGCCGTACAAATTTACTGTTTTATACTGCTTATCTCTAGAGGTGTTCATGGTAGAGTACTGGGACTTGGTTCTGGGGTATGGGGGTATCAATTCTAAATTCATGGAAGAAGATTAGGGTTATAAGAAAAAGGGGCGTGGCACTTCCAGTACAAATTTACTTTTTCTTGCCACATATCCCTGGAAGTGTTTGTGGAAGACAGAATAAATTTCATTAAATGGAAAAGGGAGAGCCGGGTTCGACCTTATAATCTAAAGCTCTCTTGAGGCATTTGCTACAGTAATGAGAAGTGGTATTTTATCAAGGCCAGGTTACTAAATTTGAGTTGGAAATATTAGAACTCGCCGTGGCACCTCCAAGAAGGTTTCACGTTCACGCGTCGTATACCTGGAAACCTTTTAAGGTAAACTTAGAGGGAGGAGAGAGGAGATTTTATAATTTTATAGTTTTAAACGGCCTAAATACCTTAACTCGCTTAGAAAATAACGAGCTATAACGAAATGGGCACAGAAATAAAATCTAACATCATTAAATTATTTTTCCTATTTGTATAAAAGTGCGGGGTGAAACCCGTGGGTATAAGCTAGTAAAAAATAAAATAGCTTTAAAAAAGGTTTATAAACTGAAAAATGTATGAAAACATCATTTTCTAAATCTCTTTAAACCTACTTTACTTTTTATGAATAAGGCCATAAAATATTTTCAAACTCACACAAACCTTCTCATTTTCAATCTCAAACAACAAAAGTTGTGAACAATTTAATTGTTTTTATTTTCAATTTTATATGATTTTAAAATGCTTGCAAACGTCAGAAAAAATCATGGCCGACGAATTAAGAATGAATTTACCTTGTAATCAATACAATAATTTTTAGAAGGTTGTTTCACTTCTTCTTATCCGCCATGTAAGTTATATGACGGAAAACGTGTTTCGTATTTTTTGTTGTACCAAATATGATTCAAATATTTAAAGGTAGTTTCACTTGTTCATATTCGCCATTGCATCTATTTGACGTAAACTGTGCTTTTGACATTTTATTTTAAATTGAAGCTACCATATTCTTTGAGGAAATTAAAAAGTGGGTTTTTACTTAAAAAATTATTTAAAAAAACATTATTTGAAAAAATATATT